ATGTTTTAGAACAGAAACTATGAATACAGTGAGATAAGCACCATCTTAAATGGCAACCATATGCTTGGCCTGGGTATTGGGGTGACAGTGGGGAGTGGTGGGGAGTATGGTGAACTGGAAAGAGTACACACTTCTTTTAAAGCAAAGTTATTCAGTCTCCAATAATCATTATCTTGCAATAAATGAAGGCCTAGTGTTCCTAGATCTTATTTTTCAACACAAGATGAAACACTGCATTTTTAGGTAAAATCAGACTTTTAAATGTTAGCAATAAATTTAAGTTGTTTTTTAAAAATTGCAGTGTGAATCAAAAAGAACATATACGCATACCAGATGGGGCTTGTTAGCTGCCAGTTTATAACCTTTGGCAGTGGAGGAGTTTTGGGAAGGCTCTTTTGCCAAAGAGGTTCACTCATGACATTGAATGAAATTCTTTTTGATCAGAGCAGATAAGATATTTTTCCCACCTCCTCTTCCCGTTAAGACATCCCGTTAAAATGCAAAATAGTTCCAAGTATACTGGTTTCTTCAGCCATTAAAGAACAGTCAGCCATTAATACCTTGGCTGAAACTGGATTAAGTCCTTAGAAACTTAAAGTTAGAAAGGAGACCCAAAGGAGGACTTTTCTGGAAAGCGTACGGTTACAGATGGCCATTCAGTCATCGCTCACATAATTCTAAGGGTGGAAAGTTCAGACCATCCACTCCACTGTTGGAAAGCTTTAGCTGTAAAAGTTGCAGGCGTCAAGCCAAAATGTGCCCCTCTGAATTCCTCCCCAACCTCTTCATGGTGGTCTTCTGTGGCTTTGTATAATAAGTCGAGTAATTCCTTTCTACAGGGGAATTTTCCAGATATCTGAAGATGCCCTTGTGCGTGTCTCAGTTCTTTGTCTGCATCTCTGTGGGGTACTTCAGTCCTTCCTCATTCCATAAGCATCTCATAAGTGCCCGCACTGCTCTTTGAGCAGATCTCTGTTATGGTGCTTCATGCATGGTTTTACAACTTATCTGAACATATGACTATCTCCCAGAGCAGACTGTGAGTTTCATGGGAGGTTGGGAGCAAGCAGGCATTTTGGTACTCAAATCTTTTCACATTGCTTGGTACACAGAAGACACTAAGAACTGATGGAGAGAAGGAAGGAAGGAAGGGAAGGAAAAAATTCAGTGACTAGAGTCTTGGAAGCTTGAATATCCTATGTTCTCTTGTAAATGGACCTTGAGAGCTTGTTTGGAGGTTGTAGCAGGGAAGAACAGATACTCGTACACCCCTGACCAAAGAATGGACCCTATTAAGGAATATCTTCCTCTTCCACTGAGCATGCAGCTTCAGGAGGGATACACATGGGAGGGAGGAAGGGGACACCTGCCTAGCCGGCCAGATCAGCTGAACGATCCCAGGCTATCAGTGGGGTGATAGATGTCGCAGCCAGGCTGCCCCTACATCCTGAATGAATTACTAATATGGTTCCCAATTCATTCATCTCTTCTATTATGGCCTTTGTCAATACCACTTTTAAAATACGGGACTCGGAACCATGGTCTGAACCTGGGATAGTAGAACATGGAATTAGCCCTCTTGACCCGGACACTGGATGGCTATTGATGAACCCGAAGACTGCATCAGCCTCATGTTTGTCAGAGGCATTCTCAGTGGTTCTCAAGACAGCTATGCTTCTCCTTGCTTTAGTCTTTCCCCTTCGTGAACTCTTACTAAGTCCCGGTTTCTCTAAACCTGTTGCATGTGAAACTGACCATTTGTGAGCCCAGCATTTTGTATTTGTCCCATTAAATTCCACCCTGTTGTTTGCAGTCCAACAGAGAAAGATTGGTGTTGGAGCTCGGTTTTGTGGTCCGCCCAGTGCATTATCTCACTGCCTCTCTCAGAGCTCGGTTTGCTGTCAGAACCATGGCTCTCGCTAAGCTGCTGGTGAGAGCCAGCTGAAATCAGTGTCTTGGAGGAATGCAACTGTCAGCCTAGAGTGTCTTGAGTAGACAGGCCTAGGTGGGGATCCACAGCTGGGGCTGCTCTCGGGGCCAAGGAAGGGAGGTAATTCAGAGAGTGAGGGGAGGGGCTGAGAGGAAGGTTTTTGATGAGAGCAAATTCTACCTTCTTCACCCGTCTGTCTAGGGTTTAGTCTCACCATCATACTTCAGAAACATGAACAATCGGTGATTTCCTTGTTTACTTTCTCCTCCAGGACGTATTGAGTTAATTGCTTTGCAGGTCCCCTGAACTCAATCAAGGTTTCCCCAATTTTCTTTCAGTAGAGAAACATAGAGGAATGTTTTCCTCATCTAGGTATGATGTTATCAACACCATGATTCTCCCATGGACTTTCAATCCTTATTAAAATGATGCTGATAATAATGTCACCTTGTTTTGCGTAACAATTTATGCTTTTTAAAGCACGTTCACATACACCCCTGGGTCCTTGCAGTAGCCTAATGGAAATCACAGCCGGGGTATGCCTGGCAGGACTTCATAGCCATGGACAATTAAATGCTCTCCAATGCTTCCTGACAGCCACACTTACTCCAGAGAATGATCAGCCCCAGAGCTTTAAGGAATCTGTGGAGGAACTTTTGGTGTAATGATATATTTTGAAAGCTTCATTTTCTTCTTAGTAAATTTATTCTCTAATCAACATGTTTTAACCCTAATGATTCTAATTCGAGAGAGGTAGGAGCTTGCCTTTTCAAAATCTGGGGCTAGCTTCCATCATTGTGTCTTGTATTAATTTTTTCTTTATAAGAAACAAAGGAAATAGAATTGGATCGTTTATGCTGATGCAGGAGACTATTGTTTGTCTATAAAATATGCAATATTGCATTCAAGCCAGAGACTTAAAAAATATTTAAAGGAAGATTCCTTGGGATGGATCCACCAGAGGTTTGTCCATTTTATTTGTTCTACCAGAGAAACAGCTTTTGGGATAATTTATCCACTGAATTGTTTTAATTTGTTTAAATTTATTAATGCATTTTAATCTTTTTCTTTGTATTTTCCTTAGCTTAAAAAGATTTTACTTAATTATTTATTTTTCTTTTCCGTTTAATCAGAAACATTAAAAGCTATGAACTTGCTATGATCAGCTTTTGTGGAATCTGATATTTCTGCGCCATATTCATTAAGTTTATATGTGTGATCTTTTTATTGTCTTGAATACCTCAATGGTGAGTAAAGGTGAGTCTAGTTTACTGATCTTTGATTCAAGAATTATTTAGGAAGATATTTTTCTGCTGTCCAAGTGGTTGAGATTCTGTGGGCTTTTTTTGGCCTAGTATCTTTGGCTAGTTCTAATTTTGTTTCATTTTAATTAGACAGTTCAAAAGTCTGATAACCTCTTGAGATTAGGTGAAAGTAGTTAATAAGGGTTAAGTAAGCAGAAATTGGTACATTGTTTGTTGAGGGACTATATGAAGCAAGACATTCAGTCAATATTTATTGACAGTTTATTAAGTACCACGTACTCTGTTAGGCAGT